GTAGGAGTTCTTATGTAGTATAAGACATCTATCTACTTTTTTTTTTTTTAATAATGCATTATCTTTAGAGTGCTCCACTCAAATGAAGGGGAATGCTTGAAGAGGGTTCCTCCAGAATCACACGAGAAAGGAGACAATGGAAGTTTTATTCTGAATAGGACTTTTTAAGAACAAGATTCGTTAAGATATGGAAGGTAGAATCTTAGCAAATTCAAGGGATTTCATGATAGAAAACCGAAACATTTCAAATTTTCCTATTGCTTTGGATTATTTTGCCTCCATAGAGAGAGAATAGATGAATTTAAACAGATGACTAACTTACTGACTTAACACTGTGAGGAAGTACTAAATGCTTACCTCTTACAGTTACTGGTCATTTAATAAGGGCTTGGGGATTTCAAAGCATATTGCATAAACAGTAGCTTAGCCTTACTCTGCTGCCTCATAGAATTGATTCACTATTTCACTTTATATAATTTTACCACATAAAGGATAATAAGGAGAACATAATTTTTTCAGTGGTTCTTTGTGATTCTCACAAGCAAAAAAAGAAAAATACTGGCCACACCCCTAGGGCTGACCCAGGCAGACTTACCTGTGCTGGATATTGTTGACAATTTATGGTGAATGAACCGTCCCTAGAGATAGTTTCCTGTTCGTTTAATCTGAATTGTGTTTCCTGAAGCTCTGATCAGTTATTAATCAGATTCATGTAATCTTGGAAAATTAATCTCATATGCAACAGAGAGAGAAGGGTGAGAAGGACAGGAAAGACATTCTGGCAGGCAAAAAAGGGCAATGAAGAAAGAAGATGAAGAACTGTAATCATGTGGGAAATAAACACTGGGAACAAATGGGAAATTCTGATAGAAGGAAAATATTATTACAAATTAGGTATCAAATAAATTAATGTTTTTTAATAAATCTATTATTAATATAACTACTTGAGAAATTAAAGAGTAGTGAAAATATACTATCGGTATTTCAGTGACAATGATGAAGGAGATGTAAAAATTACTTTAATGACAAACTTTAATTCAGTTTAATATCAAACTACAATTTGTTAACTAAATAACTTATATGACTTGGTTACCTATCACAGCAGATGACAGAAGGTCTTTCCCAGTTAAATCTCTGATCTGATGAATACAGAAGAAAAAGGACATGATCAGAAACACAAAGGTCTTCTGACCTGCTTTGAATCATGTTCATGTGTCTTATTAGGTAAGCAGTCTCATTGTACCAGACTTTTGGTATCTGCACAAACATGAAAATTATTAGATTAGATGTGAGAACATTTTCATCTCTTTTCCTACTATAATACAATGGAAATGACAGGAAAAAACCTACATTACAGTTCAAGTTGTAACTGAGGAGAATATATGCCTTGAATAGGTTGAAAATAATTATGGGAATTACAACATTGTTCAAAAATATTAAGAGGGAAAATTACACTGAATTTTATAAGCTTTTTAATAAGATTTTGAAGAATGTTATTTTTTCTGGCACATTTGGTATAAGCTTTATAATTTTATTTTTCTACCATTGCAGGATGCATAATACTCAAGTAATGTTATTAAATAGCATGGATTTTTAGATCACTTGCAAAGTTCACAACTGTGGGGCTTGATCAAATGTACTTGCCTATTTAAGCCTGAGTTCATGACTTTGGGGACAAGGATATAACATGTGGGCATATTTTTCAGCAAACCCTGTTGCACATTTTCTTTTCATTCATTTCAATTTAGAACAACTTTGCTTTGGAAATTAAATGGAATTTTTAAAATTATTATTATTATTTGAGGGTAGAAAGAAAAAAGTCTGCTTCTGATATTCATATAAGTTACATCTTTCTCACAGAAGTATGACCAACAAAATAAACTACTGTATTAAATCTATTAAGAAACTAATACAATTTTGTTGTCTTTTTCTAAGCACCACATGCCAGGAACAGTTGAGTTTATACGAGGCCACTCACAGCTTCTGTTTGTCCTGGAACACAACAATCAGGCTGACCCTCTAACCCGACTATGATCCAGCTCCTCTTATGGAAAAGTGCACCGTTACAGAATACAGTGGGAGGTAAGCTAGACCACAGAGATGAAAAACAGGTATGCAGGAGGCAGAAAAATGAAATCTTCCTGGATCACAGAGGCATTAGTTAATTAAAGAAATTGTAGGATTCCCCTGAAATCTTGCATGTGAGGTAGAGCAATCTGAAGGTCCAGCACAGGAATCCTCCTGGACAGGCAGAAGGGAGGCAGCCTTCATGCTCTCTAGTCTTGTAGTATGTGCTGTATTGTGAACTGTGTCTCATGAACACCTCTCAGCAATGCTCCTACTTAGTTCTTCACTGATATGAGATCTCTATCAGTTCTTCATCACTGGAAGCAAAGCACAGTCATTTATAATTCACTTATTTTCCTTTTATCACCTGCAGTTTCCCCACTTCTCAGGGAGCTTGTTACAGTGCCAAGGAGGCAAATCACTCCAAATGCATTGCAGATTCTTTCTACTTACAGGTCTTGGTCTTATTTGGGATGAACACTAGTAAAACCAGTGAAATATTTGCAAGAGCAAAACTCGTTGTATTCAGAAAGAAAGTTAGGATTTAGTCCACTTTTAGCTCTTCAGAAATTAACTCATAGCTGAAATGAAAAGACACATGAACTCAAAAAACTATGAAGATCAATACAAACAATGAAGAAGCCTTTCTCTCTCTAAAACACCATAGGAAAAAGTATGCCAGCAAAACAGAAATTATACCAGAGCTTAATTTGCTTATTGACCTATGCAATAAATTCATCAAAACAGGCATTTTAAACTTAAAGAACTATTTCTCCCTTTTATTCTTTTCAATAATAACATTTGTAGTATTTTGTTCGTTACTGATTGTATAGTTTTCATAGGCTGCTTGAAGAATTTCCCTGTAAAGATTCCTCAATATTTCATGCTTTGTGAAAGGCATAAAAAACCTGTTCACCTGAAACTTGGAAATAAGAATTCAAACTACACTAAGAAAAAAAGAAAGGAAAAAAATGTTGCTGTATGGAGTAAAGTAAAATAAAGAAAAGATAAAGTGCTTAAATTACAAAACACCTACAAAAAAAAAAGAAACCACTTCAATGAAAATGGAGATGAGAATGTGGATGTTTTAAAAGAATTTCACTTGGTGGAATTTGCCATCACAAAAATCAATAAAAGATACAAAATGAGTTTTATTTGGTTTTCTTTAGCATTGAATAACCATTGAAAAGAAGATGAGAAAATACAAACTGAAAAACAAGTTATGTGCTAAATATCAAACAGCCTGCCATAGTACATTGAAAAGTGTAATATCCCTGCATATAAAAAGAAAAAAAAAAGAGAAAGAAATGAGAGATAAGATAGTCTGGAGATTTTGATAACAGAACATATAAACGCTGTGGAACATATAAAGTCAGAACACCATTCAGGAGCGAAGTTCACAGAAAGAAAGGAGGATTTTCAAAATGAAAGAGGGGAAGTTTGTATGAGTTACACTACAATATGGATTATAAAATGCATCGACAACAGCTATAGATAGTTACATTGGCTAGACTTAGTCCAGATCAAGTTTTGAATCAAGTCCAGATCAATTCCTTTTCTCTTTTTTTCTTTTTTTTCCCTATAAAGATAATATTTATTCAAAATCCAAGTTTTGAATGCTAGGCCATTATAGACAGGTCACAGCTAAACTCAGATACGCAGACAGACCTACCTTAATCAGCATTCAGACTGTTGTGCGTTTTGTAACCTCTGTGTAGATAAGTAAACATGGTACATGAGTGATGTCTATCTGGCACTCAGCATGAAAGCTGAACAGAGAAAAAAGTCACTACAAAAGAACGTGCAAGAAGCAGCAACTCCCCCTCCCTCCCAATAAATAATTCAGAAAATAAAATCCTGGGCAGACATAATACCATTATTTATCCTGCCCCTAGTAAAGCTCCCTGCTTACATAAATTTTTTATAGCTTTGTCTTAGAATGATGTTGAAATTCCTTTCTGATTTTGGTATGCTTGACCTTTTGGAGTCTTCACAGCTGCCATATTTTAGTCATACTCCTTAGGGTTCTCTGACTTTCTTCGTGGAGTAATTATTTCTTTCTTCATCCATAAAAGAAATAGACTCTTGAAAAGTTTGAATTTACACCTTACGTAAATACCTTAACTGGACATGTAATTAAATATTAACTATTCACTTAAAATGTATTAAATACTCTGCATTGCATTAATCACATTGCTCAGAATAGTCCTTACAGAGTAGACAGCCAAACGAGGAGATATACAAATATCAACAGGTTTCGAAGATCTCACAGAGTGAATTCATATATCAAGGAGAGGTTAATAGAGAGACCCAAAAACACAGGAAAAAAAAAAATCCAGATTTTCACTTTTGTACTGCTATGAAAATTTTTCATCTGTGTTGTTTTTTTTCTCCATGTTATCCATTTACCAGGTCTCAGTGGAAGAGCCAGTTGTTCTCCCCAAACTTTTGGAAGGATATTTTTAGGACTTTTTTAGTATTGGTTGTGACTTTTCCTAACTAATTTTCTGATTATGTTTCTGCTTATAAAGGTAAATAAGACAAAGACAACTGATAAGTATGCTTTAAAAAGGTGTCATTTATGACTTTCACAACTTACAGTGCAATACAAATAAGACAATTGAGCTTTAGTTTAGAATAAGGCAAAACATGAATACAGAGTGGAATTTGGAAATTAGTTCAGTTCTCTAGATGTTTGAATTCAAAGTACCAAAAACTAGATCCAAACAGCTGATGAATACTAATTTCTTCATTGTGAAGTAGTAAATTAAGACTAAGTCTTCCTTATTTTTGTAAATTTTATAAAGACACTGATAAATCTTCTTGAAATATTACACATTGAAAAAACAGAATAATCACTTCAACGTTCTAGGCAAATAATATTTTATTTTCCTTGTTTGAAAAAAATATAGTATTGCATTCAAAATCTTGTCATGAGCATGAAAGGAACACATTTTATTTGAGAATCCAAGAACTCAGTCAATTAAAATAATTCTAACAGTCTAATCAAAACATGGCAGTTATAAAAATACAGCAGAGCATCACAGAAAGCAATCAGAGTCCAAAGCTGTCTTCCAGTAGCTTAAATTTGTCAGTCGGGGTCCTCCAGGTTGTCCTCTAGGTGTCCTTTTGTTCAGTAATTCTTGATGGTTCAGGCTTTCTATCCTCTGATAACTTTAAAACTGAATATACCTTTAACAATACCAGGTGTGATTTGTGATTTCCGTTTGTGAACTAGGACTTCTTAGCTCTGTAGTCCAGTAAATACACGGTTGACATTTTCAGCAACAGGCTGTGTAGTGACTTATGGAGCCTGTGGACTGATGTTTGCAAAGTTTACTCTGTCTGAATTTGCTTCAACGTGCCTGGAACTTTGCTTTTATTTGATTTGTCTGTAACAGCAACTTTTCCAGTGACTGGAGCTACGCCCAATTTGTTTTACTTTCACTTACGTTTGTACAGTGTAGTTGCAATTTCTGCATAGATAGAAGTACAAGTATGAGATGGTAGAGAGTCAGAACACAGACTCCAGACACCAGGGCTATAAACAACTCAAACAAATACAGACACAGGAGCTGTTTTGGGGGGTTGTTCATAAAGAGAACAAAGAAAAACTAAACTGTGTATATATATATATATATACATATATATAAAATGCGCTATATGTATGAAATGATTACAGACCACATAAGAAAGCTCAAACTGCAAACTGGGTTTAACAAAGGCATAAAAATAGCCCTAAGTAAATCCTGGAGAGAGGAGGAAGAAACCATCAGAATTAACACCATACTTCTTCATATGAAAGGACTTAGGATGATGACAGATTGCAATATTCCACTTCAAACTGAAGCCATTTACCTAAGGATACAGAGAAACAGTGAAAGGATGGGCATAACTCAGAAAAAAAGGGCTAGGAACTAGGATGTGTGTATAACAACCATAACAACTTTAATTGTATTGTAATAGAGATTGTTTTTTTTTTTTTTAATAATGGTAGTACTCTTTTTTTCTTTCTCTGCAATAACTGAATATCGACTAATTAAAAAAAAAATCTTTGAAGAGACTGCTTATATTGCAACTGTATGAAACGTAAATTCTTTGCTGTATATATAATGTGTCTGTCCATAATGAAATTTCAGTGCTAGAAAGAGCCTCTGGTATCATTCTGTATCCACTCAAACATATCACTTTTTATTCAGAGACATATTAATCTGCACAGACTTGATCTCACTATAAGCTAAAGCAACATTTTTAGAAGTTAACTGATCATTAGACAATTGTTAACATATCTAAAAGAAGATAAAGACAAGTACAAACAAATCATGAGTCCCCAAAACCTAGGACCCTCTACTTGTAATGGCAATAACCTTATTTAAAGATGATGATTGGATAAAGTGGAAAAAAACCCAAAACCACAGAAGAGATGGATTAGTAAAAGTCGTTGATAAGGAGAAATAGGAGAGAAAGGATGAAGGGTGTGAGGGACAGGAGTACTGTGAGGATGAGCTGAAGAAACAGTGAAGAGTCCTGTAAGTAGCTCTAATACTGGAAAGAGACTGGTGTTACTGCACTACACCCCATCCCTATGTCAAATACTATTACAAAAAGTCAGTGAAGAAGAGGGAATCATTTTTCATTCTGAATTTGCTATCTTCATGTGGGGGTGTCACCAAGTGCTATCTTCATAATTGCCACCTTTGACACTTTAGGAAATCTTACCATTAACTTACCTACTTATCGTTGTTTCATATAAAAGATCTACTTGTCAGAATATTAGCTGGTCACAAATAAAATAAGACTGGGAATTTAGTTATTTTATCCTCACAGTATCTACTGTATCTTAGACCGATGTCTGGGTTAAGGTGTAATCCTTGCCTCTCTCCAAAGGAGTTGGAATTCAAGACTAATAGTCTTGAATTGAATATTTCAGTCAAGACTGAACGAACTAAATGACAAGGTGACTGGTTATTCCTTAGTCATACAAAGCACACTGATTCTCCAAAGGCTATAGAAAATGTTTAGATTTATTTCAATCTATATATTAAAAGGATAAAATATACCTATGTGAATTCCTATACTTTTAAAATGTAGCTCAATACACAAAACACCTCCCAGCTAACAGGGGGATTTGAGTCCTTTTTTTCGATTCCACTGAAGAAACATATAGAAAGTTCTTGGTAGTGATAAATCATTTCATATCTACTCGGAAGAACTTCACAACCTTCTCTAAATTAATTTAAAAAATCAATATAAAAAGCCAACTGTAGGTCCAAATACTGAAATTGATGTGTCACCAGAAGAGAAAGCTAATGAAGACAAGATACCACTAAAAGAATTCAAGGTGTTATCAATGAATATTAAAGGCTCAGGCCTGACATCATCCAGACTTAGATCAGCTTTTTATCAGCTTTGGGTCTGACCATGAACTATAAAGTAACGTGGGGCCAGATGCAGCCTAGCTACCTCATAAAAGTGGTTTCCTGGCTCCTGCCAGATCTCCTGATGAGGCAGCAGTACTCCTTCCACAGCTTCCACAACAAGATCTGGAGAAATCACTTTTCTCCAATAACACATTTCTCCACGTGCGTTTCCAAATCATGTATCAGCTAACAGAACCAGGCAAGAGAAAATGCGAGTCACATCAAAATACTTTTCAAAAAATAGATGTCAAGTACTTTTCTGATCAAACAGGACCAGTGGAAAAAAACATACAATTCTTTCACACAGCAGGTCCAGTGGTAATAGTACCTTAAGTACTTAAAGTAATAGAATTGAGACATTAAGCCTTGCCTGCCCTGAGAAGGTTTAAACCCATAGCTCTGCTTTCTGAGAAAGTGTCTGAACTTACAAACTGCAGAGCCTGGGGCTGAGCAGTTAGCCTTCCTGAAGTAAAGGGGATACTCTTAGTAACCAAATGCAATATTAGGAAAGTCATATAGACAGTAAGAAAAAAGAAGCCTGATGACTATGTGACAAGGTCTCCTCTAAGATTTAAGATTTTTCTTTCTTTCTGATCAACATTCCCAAGGGTAATCATGCATTTTATCCAACTAACTTAAAATGTAAAATTCATAAAGAGGCTTTGACATAGAGTTCAGACTCTCAGGCCCTCCCACCTCCTCAACCACCTAGTTGAGTGACACTGCAACTCAGTAAGAAATCCATGTTGGGAAGTGTAAAATCAAACTGAACAGCACAGTCAAGGGCAAATTAAGAGTTTCCTACTCCAGATTTTTTTTCCAGGTGACACTGTTTATTGGATTTGTCCCAAATTCACAAATGTCACTGCTTAAGCTGTGTTTTTAATATCAAGAACATTGTTTAAGCCACTTTTTTCTTGACTGTAATAATAATATATCTGATTGCAAATAAAAATTATAAGAATAGCATACCTGGATATTACGTATTTGTATTTTAGCTTTGGGGGCCAGGGGTTGAGGAGGCTTGTGGGTTTGGTTGGTTGGGGTTTTTTTAGCAGCATTCCTTATAAATTTAAGAACTTATTTTGGCATATGTGACTACATTTATAAAAGGAAAGAACATGGAAAGGAGAAATTGATGTTTTTCCATTATAATTATCAATTAAAGAAGCTGTAGTATGAAAATGTATTTCAATGGGTAACATTCTTAGGTTACAATAGTCTTCTCTCAGTACAACATTTTAAACAAACTTCTCCATACTATACCATGGACTCAGTGAATAATATACAATATATATTCAACATATATCTTTTTTTCACATAACTGGAACATGAATAATACATTATATAATTTTTTATTCCTTGAATTTCTTTTGTGCTTAAAGCCATTAATTTAATTCTCTTGTATTCCAGATATGAACATAAATTGAACACCCCAAACTTCTATCACAGTTTGGGTGGAGGGTTTTGAGTCTGCTTTTGCATTTTTGAGGTGGTTTCTTGGTGACATCATGGTCATTTAGTTCTGTCCCTATTAGAACTGGCTATACTTCTGAATCAGTACTATATAAAAAGGTATAAGCAATCAGTTTGTAACTATGAACCCAGTCACTTCTCTGGTTTGCCTCTTTAGAATAAGGAACCTCTCAAACCAACGTAGGAAATAGCAGACAAAATTTCAAATACTTGCTTTGTCCCATTCAGTTCAGTAGGATATATCTACATTTCATAACCCAACCATATGTTATAACCAGTGATCTATGGGTTTCTCTCCTTCACCTAGATTACGTTCTACTGAACAGGAAAAAAGACTGAGAAAAGCAAAATTAAACAATATCCAAAGGGTCAAAGCAAACAAAAAGGTATTTCATGAGCTGACCTTCAAGATTTCATTAATGTGAGAAGACAAAATAATGGCAATAATTGACATAAAATTTTCAGTTATTCCAAAGTTTTCTACAGATTCACTGTTTCATGACCTTGAAATTTTTCACTCTCAAATAAAAAGTTTCTTTTAATTACATTTCATATAAAGTCAGTCTGATTCTCTGAACATCTTTAGTCATCACAAACTTGTATTTTCTAATAAAGCACATTTTGTTATGATACTAATGTCTGCTTATAATATTATGTCTACCAACTCTAACAATAAGTGACCTCAGGATGATGTTTTTGATGAGAGAACAGGGTCCTGAAAGATCAGAGCTTAAAAATTAACTACCTCTAGAATTAGAAACATAAGTTAAGAATCCCTACTGTAAAATATTAATTTTTCAGACAACAGAAGAGACTTTTAGAGGAAAATGAAAAATACACAAATTAAAAGTGAATCTAAATTACTGTTTTATACACAGTATGACATTTATTCTTGGAACCCTGGTGTAATAGTCTTCAGCACTTCAAGACAATCTTATTAAATTATATGATAGAATTCTGTGTGCAAATAGACTAAACTCTGATAATCTAACATGAATTCCCTGTTCCAATGAAACAGCTTTCAACACTTGTAAGAAAATTAAAGATTTACTTTTGCAAAAGTTCCAACAGCAAAAGTTATTCTAGTTTGAGAAATATTCAATCCTAAATCCGCTTCCTAAATTCAATCCATGGATTGAATATTTTAGGATTATATCCTAAAAAACAGATTAAATATTCAATATCTTTTACTTTCTCCAGTGTCTTTTTTCAGGCTAATGTCTTTATCAAACTATATTTAATGCTGAGCAGCTCTTTTCACGGTGGTCTGTTAAAACAGATTGTTTCCTCTTCTAATTAGTTTCATTTGCATGAAGAGTATCTTTGATTAGAAGCATTTACAACTTATTTTTTACCCCAGCCTTCTGTGAAATCATAATCATTTTCATAGGAATAATTTGAGATATCACAAACAGAAGATTATTAATTCAAGTAGAGACAATAAGCAGCTAAGATCCTGTTTTCATTCAAGGGTCTTGGCCGCATGGAAAATAAGAAAACGGGTTATATAAAACTGCACAGCATCAGCAGATACTGCATTGAGAGCTCTGAAGACTGATGTTTATCTGCAGAGCAGGTGTCTCTACTTTTAGCTTCTCATACAGACAGACTGGTAGGTGTTCCAACCTTGTTTTGGAAGAACATCTGAGAGAGAGTAAGAAGGTTGTTGCCTTACTTTGTTCAACAAGAAAGGGTGACACGGAGGCCAGTTACTGCATGAGAATAACAGCTTCTGAAAAACACTGATGAATCATTGCATAGCTTGAGAGAAGTAAAGATAATAATTTAGAAATTCTAATTTGCATCAGTACAGGTGCAGCATTAAAAACCACTTTGATTGTAAATAGGATTTTTATTTTTTAACAGCTCATCTGTTCAACCTGAATTTGAAATCATCTGCCTGTGGCAACAAAAATGGTTGCTACAGCTTGTAGTTTTGAACTATCTTATACATTTGCACTATTGAAAAATATTTTCATTGTAGTGCCTATATTCTGGAATTTTGAGCCCTTTCTGATCAAACCTTTTAATTAATTTTGTGTACCTTTAGGTCATCTTTTAAGAGAAAGATGTTTCTAGAAGCTCACAAGGAGTAGACAGTGGATTTTAAAAAAAAAACCAAATTATTTTAGTAAAGCTCTTAAAGTATATCATATTGGATCAAATGCATAGCATTATTACCATCTATGAATCATATAATGTTTTTCACAAAAACTGATCCTGTAACTAATAAATAAGGTTCTACAGTCATTTGCACTTAGAATTATAAAATCATAGAATTTTTTAGGTTGGAAAAGACCTCTAAGATTGAGTCCAACCATTTATCTAGCCAAGTACTGCCAAGTGCACCACTAAACCATGTCTTTAAACACCACATCTATACATCCTTTAATACCTCCAGAAGTGGTGACTCAACCATTTCCCTGGGCTGCCTGTTCGAGTGCTTGACAACCCTTTCAGTGAAGAACCTTTTCCTAATATCCAATCTAAACCTCCCCTGGTGCAACTTCAGGCCATTTCTTCTTGTCCTATTGCTTCTTATTTGAGAGAAGAGACTGACTCCCACTTGACTACAACCGTCTTTCAGGTAGTTGTAGAGAGTGAGAAGGTCTCCCAAGACTCCTTTTCTCCATACCAAACACCTCAAGCTCCCTCAGCCTCTCCTCATAAGATCTGTGCTGTAGATCCTTCACCAGTTTTGTTGCCCTTCTCTGGACACACTCCAGTACCTTCATGTCTTTCTTGTAGGGAGGCGCTCAAAACTGATTTGTAGTCCTATTTTAAAAAGTACTTATTCCCATCAGAGTAACAGATCCACCACATTTCATAGAAGTGCTACTACCCATGGAGGGCCAAACTGTAGAAGTTTTTAAGTGTGGAATATTTCCTGTTCATAGAAGCATGGGGGCACAGAATCAAAAACTAACAATTTATGGCAGCTTTACAACTTGCTGTTCATCAGGTGAGTTACAACAGACCATATGTGCACACTTAGCTCACCCTGTCTTCTGAGGTAAAATGCATTAGTTTAAAGTAATTTCATGGGGGTATAAATTTTACCTTATCTTTTGGCAAGGTTAAGACGACACGTAGTCCATTGCAGTGATATAGCATCTGTCTGCTGACTTGTTGGAAGGCTGTAACTCAGTCTGGATTGATCCAGATAAAGCTCTTAGACCACCAGCTTGACTTCTGTGAAAGGTAATTTTTATTGATCTTGGTGACTGCATAACAATAAATCATCTCTTTCAAAAAAATAATCCAGTCTTTATTTAAAGAGTTGGAAAGAGGAAGCTTTACCATTTTCTACTAATTTCATTGATTCAGTTGCATCTTCCCTTCATCAAAAATGTGACTTTTATTTCTAATTTCATTAGATTTTATAATTTCGTACTATATTCCTCTTATACCTGTCTCTATCAGATTGAAAAAAAAACCAAAAAAAGATCACTGGAACTTTCTGTATGTTAAGATATTTATATATGATTTGTAGTTTCTTTGAAAACTGCCCTGTGATAGACGTAATTTCTAGCATCAGCCTCAGCGAAGAAAATCACTTTCAGAAATGCTTAGTAATTAATTTTTCAGATCTGTATTTGTGATATACATCTTCATCTCTCTTTATCTTCAATACATATTTCTTATATTTTACTAAATACTGACTACAAACATCAGTCTGCTACGATATCATTGTAAACACAGATTTGCAGCACAACAGCAAAGAAGCACCTGTGGATAGTTTATCCAATATATTTGTAAAATGCAAACTTTTCAACAACTACAGGAGCATGACCACAAAATTTCCTTTTCTTCCTGTCCTCATTTTTTAATGGCTTCCTACTTTTGGAATTAACAGGATCTTGTTATATCCTGCTTCAAAGCAGATTATGAATGCAGTTACTATATCTTCCATTACTTTTACCTCTTACTTCTGGTAAACCCAATACAAACTTTCAGATTCCATAATTATACAAATAACAGCAGCTACTAATCAGTCTAGGCACACCAGTTGACTTGAGATTTTCCTATTTGCCAGATTTCTCTTAAAGTAATGCAATTTTCTAGTCTACTTGTATTTTCAGTCCAGGATCTTACAATCATCAGAATAATCAGATTTTTAGGTTTTTATTCCTAAAGCCCTTATACAAGCAAATGAATAAGAATATGGACTTGTGAGAAATATTACATTATTCCTGAATGAGGTACCATGAAATTCCTTCACTTGAATAATTTCTTTGTGATAGTCCATAGCCTACAAAAGGAGTTTCTTCAGTAAATTGAAGATGGTAAGAAAGCAGATAGCACATACAAATATGGTTCTAATGATAATTAAACCAGCTATGAGTTCAGAGAACTGTTTGCCTGAGGACTTTAATAAAGAATAACTGTAGTTCTCTTCTAAATCCAGTTATTCCAGGCAGTTAAAGGTCTTGTTAACCAAGCATACTGCAACAGTTTACTATGCCTGTGTCTCCTCTCATGATGAGAGCAAGGAACTGAGAATGCACTAATACCATGTTACATTTTTTCCATGTTACAACAAACATTTACATCCAGCTCAATAAGTGTTCATATACTCAATGAAAGTGTACTCTGGCACATACTGAAGAAAGTACATTACGAAACACGAAACCTGTGTTCCTACAGCACAAGAACAAATGTACAATATGTAGGTAACATTTTTTTCTTGCTCCGCTGAGATACTATGAAGTCTAACATATATTGCTTCATGACATGATAAGTTCACTACTTCACTAAGTATTTTTTTATTGCTCTGGACAATGACCACTAAAGATTTGAGAGCTTTCAGAGATATACTGAACATTTAAAATTTAGATTATCTTACACTTTAGATACTGGATGTGTCCATTATTTTCTTTTTAATAAATGAAGTAAATTATTTAGAAGAGTATCTAGAGTTTTGAGAACTAATTGTCATTTTGGAAAACTGCCTTGCCTTCCAGTGTCAAGAGACTTATGTAAAGACAAGTGTCTCTAGAGAAAGAATCTTGTAAATCATTAGAGTTTTTAATTTTTTTTTCTTTCAGGCATCATACTGAATAAATCAACCAAAAAACTCAATGTTAGCTCTCCCCTTTACAAAATCCTGTGGTATTCTCAAGAACTATGAGAAAATACAAAATTATGTGGTTATATAAAACAGCAGGACACCTAAATATTGTCATCACATGTCTTAGTATTAAATACTAAGATAACAGACCCCTAAAGACTCTACAGGGATACTGATGACCTACAAGCAAGGCGTGAATATGTGATATTAGAGAGATATTTCTTTAGAGAAATTGAGAGTTATGGGTTGAAATTGCTTCTGATTAACTGGAAAGTAGTGAATAGTCTATCCTTAATGCCATTCAAATCAAACCATCTCACTGACATTCATGATATACACTAGTTTCATCAGGAAGCTAAGCATATCTTTATGTACCCTATTGAGTTCAACAAGGCTACTCAGTACAACACAAATGATACTCAGCACATTACAGAATTTATCATTTTGTAAAACAGAGAATAACTATAATATTTGAGCATTGGCAGTCATGTTAACTGAAAACAATTTACAGGTACTCGGAGGAACAGGTTATGAAAGTTACATAAGAGATTTACTTTGGGTTTCTTCAAAACACATATGCCTCAGGAAAAAAAAAACAACATCATTAGGTGGAAGTAGAATCAATAGTAGAATAAGCTCTGCAACATATCAAGTTTCATGTTTGGAAGAAATGAATCAGAAATAAATTAAAATGAAACATCAAAGATGTATTTTCTAAACAACAACCAAAAAGCTATCTCAAATATTTTATAATTTTCTGTGTATTTAGAGGTATTTAGTGTTTCAAAAATTTATCAGTTAAGAGGGTCCTAGTAAAGAAAAAAAACAATTTCCTAATATTAATGACCATAGGAACATGATATTTGATTCTTTTGCAGTTTGTAACCCATATTATTTGCACAAATTAGTAACCTTTCTTAAAAGTTTCAGTCAGCCATTCACATAGTCCTTATACATATAAAAAATTGATGAGCTAAACTACCCACAGATGAAGCAATAGCAACGAATAGGGAATAATTAATCAACAGTATGTGAAGCATCAATTTGTTCATCTGAACTTTCAGCAAAGGGAAGAAAGAAAAGAAATTCAGTGACCTCAGGCTACTTAAGCAAATAATCCTCAAACACAGATTACAAAGGGGTTTGTTTTTTTCTCTGCCCCTAACAACTTATTCTCTTTTACTTAACAAGCTTTTTTTTTTTTTTAACAGAACAATTAGCCTTAGATAAAAAGAAAGCCATAGACATACTGAATAGTCTTTATACAGAGACTATATATTGATTCAATTCACAGAACATACTGTGAGCAAACAGACACTCCAAAGGTAACTGGTTCCATGCTTACATTTTTAATATCTTCAGAGTTACTGGACCTCTAATTACAGCACTGCTGCCTGGATTTTTAAAAAGCAGTTACTTATTTAAAGGTTGTCCCTACAATTATACTGCCTTTCATCAGATTATTAGCTGTATGGATCATAACCTCATGGAGTAGAAGGACTTATTTTAATTTAAAAGTTATTGGTTAGTTTTAAAGCCCTTCAAATAAACGATAATTTATGATACTCTTTTTTTATGCAGGTTAGTCTATTGATTTCATAAAGCACTCTTTAAGATCTGGCTAAGCAAGCCCTCAACAAAAGAGAAGAGAGGTGTATTTCCACCTTTAAGAGCCTTTAAGAGAGCTTTTGAATTAAACATGTTCCAGCAGTAAAGAAATAGATAATATAATGGTAGCAGAGATCCCCATTCAGGGAGTTTCTTGGTTCTCCAGACAGAAAAGTTAATATTCCTCTTGACTTTTTATGAAGTGAAAGTCTCTTTTTACTAGAATGCACGTATGCATATGCTTGTGTACAATTTAGTGTATCTGATATCAAACACTTGACCTATATGAACTACAGATGCAAGAAGTAAGCAATCAGTTGATTGGTTTCATATGTTTAATGTGTGCAAGGAAATCAGATGTGCCTTAATGTCATCCAAAGACTAAAGGTGTTTATTTCAGTGTAATTTGTTTCATATTCAGTAACTTCTGGAAAAAAAAAAAAAAAAGGAAGGTCTTATAAGGTAAACTTCTTCAGCCAAACAAACCTCAATAAAAATAAATGTCCACTTGATAAAAAGTCATATTAGAGGTTCCATGATTTATGTCTGGTAACATTTAGGAACGTAATCTATGCCTTCCTTATAATTATTCTGTTATGCTTCAGGTAACAGTACCATGAGCCCAGAGGATAACTTAGGTACCCATCTAGAATTATTTCCAGATAAAACATATTGATCCATCAAAGATGTACTCCTGGAAAGTACACACTTGGCTGGGCTGCCCGTATTTGGTATGCTAATTAATATTTTCTTTCCTCTAACTTTGTGAATGTTTATACTCTCCAGAGAAAGAAAAAAAGTCAGCTTGCATTTTATCTAAGCCAGAAAAATAAATCAAGTAGATGTCAAAAATATTCAAAGGACATCTTCAAACTATTTTAAAGGATTACTTTATATTCCAGATTTTTTAATGAGTGATTCATATCTTTAAGTTAAGCAACAAAAATGCATCATCTTTGCGATAGGAAGACTTTGAGCTCCAATATGAAATTTCTCATTGAAGAAATACTTTGCACTTAAAGGTCTTAGGAACTTAGATGTTACTTTTTTTTAAACAGTTTCCAAAGATGAAATTGTGGCCTTTGTAGTATCTACTTATGTGGAAAAAATTTCCAATATCAAATCAAAGCAATTATGTTGGCTGCCCAACAAAAAATCTTCTAAATCTTCTGCATTTGGAAAGTCACAGGGTGTTACTGAAGATAGAGATGATGTTTTACAAGAATACAATACTTGAGTCTTCAAAAAAATCTTAAAAATTGTAAGCACAATTAAACATATTAAAATTAGCGCAGAACTGGTATATCATTTCATGTGTATAAAATGGGTTAAACACATTCTAAAAAGGAAAGGGAGTGTGAAGATTGTTCCTTACTATGCAATGTTCCTTGTATTTCCATTTTCTGCTTTTTTCATGGTCTTTTCTAAGTTTTCATTTTCCAATTTAATTTCCTTTAGCTTAATTTTTTTATCCTATTAACTAACCCTGAAGGGTTCTATGACATCTCTACCTCTTTATTGAACTTTAAAAAGTTAAAATACATCTTTATCAGCCTACACATTGATTATTTGCACCCATTTCTTTGATTTATCTTTTCCAATTGCACAGTCAATTTCTGAAAAGAAACGAGGGTTTTTTCCCACTCTGTTTTAAGATAAAGAACATTTGTATGATTTTGATGAGGCTTTTAGGTACAATAATAAGATAAACAATATAATTCACAATAACACAAAGATATTAAGCATCTGACCTAAATAATACTTGTGTTTTTTCCTCTGCATTCAGTTTATGAGCTTCACATACTGTGTCAAGCAAATTTTACTCTACATTCTGAAAGACAATTTATTTACTTGCATAAGAAAGATGATGACAATGTAAACTACTTCAGTCCTAAGAATAGATGATGAGAAAGGAGCTATTGCTCTGCATTTTAGATGGCATGACACAGTATGGACTACCATGCATTTTTTTGAAAATGGTATGTTTTGTTACAGTGTGCTAAATTGAAGCAGGTACAAATAAATAAAATAAATACTTGGAATTAAATAGTAATTTATCATTGAATGGATCTTGAATAAATGTCTTCTCTCAAGAATACATATATCTACAGCTACATATTTATGTAAGTACACACAGAAACCTTAACAGGTTGACCAATGCACTTGCTTGTGGTAGAAGCCTTTTTGCTATACCAGACCATAATGTTTTGCAGACATATTTCAATGAAATCATGTACATAGCTGTTTAATATCATTAAAAAGCCCACATTGGCATTCTGAAGGCTTCAGAATGGAATTCTGGTTCCATTCTAGTAATAACACTGGTCTACTTAGTGATATTTTTAGGAAAGGAGTGAAGATGATTCTTCCCTCAGGGTATTAAGAGCTCTAAAATGCCTAGTTATTACTATCATTTTAGTATCAGCAGGTAGAATCGATCCCACACAGATAGAAGAACAAAAACTATTAATTTGATTATGTGGTTCTCTGAGTTACTCTGGGAGAGTTTTTCAACATTGCTCCATTTCCTTAAATTCACACATTTCATTAGATCATTGCTGTAACTGCAATGCAACTCTAAAGAGCTCAGCTATTGTAAAGAACAAATATTTTGCCTTTAGATTAGTAATATTTTACTTTTAACCCCCATAATTTTTCTTAATTGCTCCATAGTTAGGTCTCAGCAACTAATATGTCTTTATTCTGTTACACTGTTCTCAAGTTTAACCTTATAAAGACAATTATACAATATGACCAATGCATTCAAGCCTCTTTGGTATTTTAGATATTGTTTCTCAAACTCTGCAAAAGCTCACACTCAGCTGGCATTCATTACCTGATAAAATATTATGTTTATTTTTAATTAAAAATCAATGAAACCACAAAATAGTCTGCATTTTGGAAACTAGTATATTTGTCTGAATTCTCAGTCATTACTTCTGTAAAAGGAACATATCAAACAATTTCTTTCAAAGAACAGAGCAAAGAGGTATCATTAAATATACACTTAAAGAAAACTGCTGAACTCACAATGCTTTCTACTACAAAGTTATATTCTTCTGAAACACATTTATATGTGCTCAATTAGCAACGTTACCCAGAGCTACCATTCCTACATAAGATATCATCTGAAACCCGAACTACTGAATTTAGCCTTGCATGTAAACTCAATCAGGTAGTGTTGCAGCAGATAAATTGTTCCAAAAAATATTGATTGTAGTAAAACTCCAATATTTTTGGGCACATACTGAAACACAAAAACCTCTATAGCTAACACTGTTATGTGAAAATTTAGGACCAATTTAAGAATTTAAAATACGTCTTACCGAAAACTTTGATAAGTGTTGGGGTTTAACCGCAGACGGCAACTCAGCCCCATGCAGCCACTCATTCCTTCCTCCCATGGTGGGATGGGGGAGAGAACTGGAAGGGTAAAAGTGAGAAAACACATGGACTAAGACAGTGTAAAGGGTAAAGCAAAAGCCATGAATGCAAGAAAAGGAAAGTAAGAATTAACTGACCACTTAGCACTGGCAGGCAGGTGTTCAGCCACCCCCAGGGAAGCAGGGCTCCATCCCACAGAACAGTCACTCAGGAAGATAAATACCATCACTTTGAATGTCTTACACTTCTTTCTTCTTCCCCCCAGCTTTATATGCTAAGCCTGATGCCATATGGTATGGAATATCCCTTGGGTCAGCTGGAGTCAGCTGTCCTGGTTGTGTCTCCTCCCAACTTCTAGTGTACCCTCAGCCCCCTCGCTGGTGGGGCAGAGTAAGAAGCAGAAAAGGCCTTGGTGCTCTGTAATAAGCACTGCTCAGCAATAATGAAGACATCCCTGAATTATCATCAAATTGTATTTGCACTTGCATCTTCTTAAATCAGTTTTCAGCTTTTTGTCAAGCCATTATAAATCATGTTGGAATTCTCTTTTCTCTGTCAGCCTCTGAGGAGAAAAATAGTGGAATATAGACATATCATCAAGCAAGAGAAAGAGGTGAAACATGCTTTTGAGCATTTTATTTGAGTTCTAGTTCTGTCTTTTTGTTGCTGTGGAAGGAAAAACGCACATTCACTGTCCCCTCTGGAGCTCAATATACAGAAAAATATTCAGCAACAGTTGCTCTTTTTTTGGTACATGCTGTCTTTGTAATAAATAGAGGTGTTTGACAGGAGATTTTTAAAAAATCACACTCCACAGTGAAATAAAACTTTCATAATTCAAAAATGTCTATGGCCATAAGAAACTACAGTATGACATGAACTTCATGGCATCCAGTAGTTCAGAGATTATGAAGCTGGTGAGATACACACAGGTTTAAAAGCCAGTCCAGTCTGAAAGACAGAAAAGACCCCAATCTCACATCTTCTCTGAGAACATTAACAAAACATAATTATCACCACTGGATTATTTTGTTCTCATGATTGTCACTAAAACTTTCTAAAAATTCTTTTGCAAATGATTTTTTGTTGAAAGCTGAGCACTCTACATAAAACTTCCGTTTACAATGTTTTTCTGTTAAAAATCTGTCTCATTCTTCTACAATTTAAAAATGAGAATTGAATGCCCTTTCATTATATACAGGTGAGTTCATTATCTAATATGGGTGTAAAACGATTTTTTTCAGTATATATGCCTACAAAATTGTTGCAGAAAACAATTAAAAAAAAAATGTCGTGATCAAGTTGCATCAGTGTAACATTACAAACAGAAGAGTTTCAATGAAATGCCCATCTTACTGATGTATTAGATATAACATCATCAAGAACTTCAAATTATTGTACCCTCTCTGGCAAAATGAGTTTATGATTGATCTTATATTTGGTAAACAGAATAATGCATTAAAAGGTTCAATGCGTTTATAAACAGTTTTCAGGCTGAGATGCACTAGTATCTCAGCAGTAATGTTGGCTCAGTCTTTCTACATTTTTCATCAGATGTCTATTTAGCCATAATAATATCCATTCTGCTCAACTTAAATGCAGTAGTTGTACTTCGAACTAGCATTTATATATTAGTGTTAGAAGATAGCAATACATGTTTGCCTGTTGCTTCATTCAAGAATTTGCATAACAGGGAAATTAATTTTGTGCTTGCACTTTGAGATCAATTAATTTAGCACATAGTATATATTTTCAATTTATTAGTTTATACTTTATTACATTAATCATAGAATCATAGAAAATCTGGAGTTGGAAGGGACCCAAAAGTATCACTGAAGTCCAACTCCCAGCCCTGCACAAGACAAGCCCAAGAATCACACCATGTGCCTCAGAGCATTGTCCAAACACTTCTGCAACTCTGTCATACTGTGACCACTTTCCTGGTGAGCCTGTTCCAGTGCCCAAACACCCTCTGGGTGAAAACCCTTTTCCTAGTATCTAAACTAAATCTCCCCTAACACAGCTTCATGCCATTCCCTGTGTATTATCATTGTTCACAAGAGAAGAGACTGGTGACTGCTCTTCTCTTTCCCCCTACGAGGAAGCTGCAGGATCCTACGAGGCAGGCTGAACAGACCTCAGCTGCTCCTCACACAGTTTCATCTCTAGACTCTTCACCATCTTCGTTGCCCTCCTCTGGATGCTTTCTATTAGCTTTATTTCTTTCTTACATTACAGTGACCAAAACTGCCACAATATTCAAGGTGAGGCTGCCCCAGGTCAGAGCAGAGCAGGACAATCACCTCCCTTGACCGGCAGATGATGCTTTGCCTGATGCCCCCCAGGACATGGTTGGTCCTTCTGGCTGCCAGGGCACTGCTGACTCATATTCAACTTGCTGTCAACGAGGACACCCAGGTCCCTTTCCACAGCAGTGCTTTCCAGCATCTCATTCCCCAGACTGTACAAACATCTGGGGTTGCCCCATCTCAGGTGCAGAATCCGGTACTTCTCTTTGTTAAACTCCATACGGTTGATGATTTCCCAGTCCTCTAATTTGTCCAGGTCTCTCTGCAGGGCCTCCCTGCCTTTGAGGGAGTCAACAGCTTTTCCCAATGTAGTATCATCACCAGACTTACTTATGGTAGAGTATGATTTATTTTGATTGTCCTTTAAAATGCTTACCAGAGAATATCTTTTTTTCAGCTTTAAAAACCCCAAATCCATAATTAAATATATTACAAAAAAGATCAGCTAGTTAGGGTCTACATTCTTTGACTCTGCTGGGAGCATATTGATTTGGACAAGTTATCTAATAAACTATCTTAACTAAATTAGTATGATACCATCTTAATTTAAGAATGTACATTTCTCTGTATGCTTTGAAACCTTGCAGTAAGTAGTAACTGACGGCTTAATATGGAGAATCGAGGTTTTTATACACTCAATATGGAGAATCAAGGTTTTTATATACTTAATATGTGGATGCTACAGGATGAACATATGTACCTATGGTAAAAAAAAGCTTATGAGTATCAGTTCACATTGTAAAGTCTGTAAATTATGAAAGAAAATTAAAAAACCCCAGAGTACTAGCACTTTCTATTAGTTACTGCAGAATAACTTTGAATTGAACAACAGGGAAATCACAGTTACATACAGTAATAGAATCCTTTATATAAAATATACTAATCTATGCAGCACATAGTGTAGAAATTCCATAATATTAAAAGTTTGAGCTAGTCTATATTTAATTTTCTGTGGATGTTTTGCCCTGTTTATCTTTTTCTGACAATTTTTCACATAAAAAGTAATTTTACCTTCATGTTTAGCCACAACCGAGGTACAGTACTCAAAAATGTATGAAATTTTCACCTGCTTTAAGACTCTTGAACATCATACTACAACATACAACAACCTGCTCCAGAAAACTTAGCTGAATTCTGAGTCTGTGTCTATAATATATTTGACTGAACAGTACTTGCCACGACAATAATTTTTTCTGTGTTTTTATATCTTACACATATGCTCTAGTAAATTATTCAGTAATGGCCATCTCTTATTAAAATCTACACTTAGGAATTGCAAGTACTGGATAATTTGATTTTTTATTACATATAAATGTTTTTATTATTTTGCTGTTTTCAAAAACTCTCCCTAATGAGCATCAATCACACTCTGGGAAAAGGGATGCATAACTCTAAGATTTACAAAGTTGGCTTCAGGCATTTAAAGCACACAACATTCTTTTTAAATCCCTTGTGGAAGCCCTTTTTTTTCCCCCCACTCTTTTTCTTTAAATTATTTGAAAAGAATTTAGTACTGATGAAAAGATGCATTGTGATAGTAATGGAAAGTGTGTTTCTTCTATGCTTAGGGCAAGCATACAAAGTCACTAAAAATAATGTAAAATTTAAAGCAAATAATTTACTCAAAGTAATTTCATATGTCAGTGTTTAATGACTTAAATGATGCTCATTTAAAGTTTCCTGTTTCTTCTTTTTTTCCCAAAAACATGGAATTAAAAAGACCCCTTGTTAATTAGACTCCAAAATTCCAATAAACATTTATGCATCTAACAACAGTTATCTCAAATCCACTGAGGGATTTATGGTCCATTTGAATTTGACATTTCCTTTTAATTATCTCCTAAACCAACCATCAACCTTTGCTAGATTTATACTAGTACAATCTTCATAAATGCTGATATCTGCAACCAACCCAAAACTAAATGAAAACCTATGCCTTTGGTTCTTCTTTCCCATCCTAACCCAGAAAAGCAAATTCTGCATTTTTATTGACGTGGTCTTTCTACTTTTCACTGAGCATCCCAATCAGACACAAAAAGCTTTGTATGGATTCATCAAGGTACTAAAAGCTGTTCCAGTTCCAAACTGGAAGGCAAGAAATTATTTTTGAAAGATACAACAGAGGACTGAAATGATAATTTTTCATTCTACAAAGTGATATAGAGTCAGTCCACGATTACGTGTTGACCTAAAGTTGAAACAGAGGATATATCCTACACTGTATCTCTAACATAACCTCTTCAATGCTGACCCCATAATTGTGCCAAAAGTTAACTCATTTCTCGCTGAAAGGCAAAAAGGGATCAAATCAAATGAAGAAATCATTAACAAGCAAAATCCCTCCTCTGGAATTAAATGTCACCTTCAGCCTTTCCTACAAATAATATATGTAGTCAGAAGACTATGTTTTCTTCAACAAGGGTTGTAATAACTTACTTCAATTTTTCTGCTATTCAGATCTCTTTATTTCAGCACATGAATTTATTAAATCCTTTTCTTACCAAATTTGTCTGTGTTCTCTCATTCTCTATCCTACGTGTCAGTGCTGCACACCATAGGAGTGGTAGCAATTAGAGAAGGGGTTGTAGGTTGCAATGTCCACAGGTATGTGTTCCAGCAACTAGAGAGACCTGGATGTGTTTATCTTTCCCCAGTCATTCCTTAGCAAACTTAGTCCTCTGTGTGTGTGAGTGTGCACTCA